ATTAACTTCTAGCAAAGAGATTATAGATATACTTTTCTGATTCTCTTCATATTTTTATAATGGTGTATGTTACTTTATGAGCAGAAAAATGAACATTACCTTCAGAAGCATCTTTCCAACGTAAAAAGGAAAGCCCAGCATCATTGTTTTCATTTATTTACTTACACACTAAATTTGGCAAGTTTACTCTGAATACAAATGAGCTCTGGGATGGCTGGAAATCCAGAAACAGAAAGAAGTTGAAGGAACTGGGAAATTTAAGCTTGGAGAAGTGGAAGGGGTTTCCCACTATCTGTGTGTCTGCAGCGATAGGAGACTGCACTCCGATTTTCTACAGGACCCAGGGGGAGTTGGCAAGAAACACTGGTTCTGTTAAAAGGAAACCTCCTGACGCCATGGGCTGTACATGAAATAGCCGCCATTGTCTCCACACACAGAATTTCTGACCAAGGAGTCAGAGCTGTGTCAGGGGCGTCGTCAAGGACTCCTTGTGCTGCCAGGGAGGCTGCCCAAAGCGACTTCTGAAACCCCTCCCAGCACTGCTCCACGATGCCAGGAGCTGCTAGGGGGTTGGAGGGGGGACACGCAGAGAGAACTGGGTGGGTCTGAGTCAGTGGACACCTTAGGTCGGCACCCGTTCTCCCTTTGGCGAGCATCCTCCTGATGGCTAATCTGTTCAGTCCAGTCCCGGGACTGGAGGCACAGTGAACGCTTATCTGAGTTCAGTGTTTGTGCCAAAGGCTCTCTGTCTGGGGTCCGACTCGGGCTGGGGGGCAGGGGCTGTGTACCACGAGGTGTCGGGCTGCTAAGGAGGGGGGAGGGTGAGAACGTTTCAAGTTAGCGAGAAGCAGGGATGGGGCCTGCGATTTGCTGAGAACCTTTTATGTCAGGCACTCACGAAACGTAGGAAGGTGTGACGTCACTATTCACTTTAGCATTTCATTATTTATGTGGAGTGCTAAGGAGAATTAGACGGATTCTTTCATGCCCACTCCTCAATCTCAGGGCCCCTTAGTCTTTGCATAAAGATAGAAAGCCTGACTTGTTCATCTCTGGGCCTGTTCCCCAAAGACGGAAACCACCTTTGGGACTCTTAGCCAGGAGTTCCTATTTATGTGGTTTGAGGCACCCTGGGACCCACGGCGCCTGCCCATCAGCCCAGCAGACCTCGGTCCGCAGCTCCAGAAAACCCAGTGTGCTCATGTCACACTCACCCGTTCACTCCACTCGGTGAGGAACCAGCTCTTGGCACAGGGTCCCATGTCACAGTTCTCAATGTCACTTGGCCGGAGCTTCATGTTGCATTCCTCGTCATCGACTACGTCCCCGATGTTGCTCACACACTTCACGTCGCGGGTCCTCTGTCCCACTCCACAGGGCACCGAGCACTGAAACACAGCAAGCTCACATCAGCAGACTGGGCAGCATGAGCGCCGGATGACTCTCCAGGTACGGTGCCCTCATCCTGTTACCTGCCACCTGAACAGGGGACCGTGTGGCGAGACCCCCCTGGGTCCCCTGCAATGCAGTGCTGCCTGGGGAGGGTCCCAGCCCTGAACACTTCACAACCCTTTTCTCTAAGACCTTCTTAGATATCTTGACTGCTTTGTTCCTCTGAGCCTCAGTTCTGTCATCTATAAAATGGGTGAGCAAGACTGGAAGAGTTGGTTCTACCAGCATTTGCCAGCTTTCAGTCCACTGTGACACATGAGAGACATGAGACCTGTACACACAGGCTCCCCCTTAAAGTCGGCTCTGGTGACAGTCACACACTAACCTTAACTCTATCGAGCTATCGGTACATGCTATGGTTTACAGACCCAGCCATCCAGAGCCCCACAGGATGGGTTCCTTCCTGAACTCAGGGCCCTTCCCAGTCAGGTGTGGTGGTGGGTCCTGGAGGGGGTGCTGGGGAGCAGGCCGCCCATCCCGCATACCGAGGTCCAGTCTGTCCGGATCTGCCACTCGCTGCAGATCTTCAGCTGGCAGGTGCTGGTGGTCTCGGGCTTGTCCAGGTGCTGGCAGCGGTAGGGCTGTACAGTCAGGCTGCGGTTGGCGTATACCTGGCGGCATAGAACCTGGCGGTGCTGCATGCCCAGGCCACAGGTTTTGCTGCACTCTGACCACTCCCCGATGTCCCAGCTGGCTCAGGAGGGAGAGAGCGACAGGGACAGGTCACTTCAGTCAACAGGAAGAGGGCAGGAGCCTGAGCTTACACAGACCAGCAGAAACCTCCTGGGTGACCCGTCTCCCAGGCACTGCTTCCCAGGCTGCCTAAGGGCCACCGACTCTGTAAAGGGGTCACCTTAGTTCCACATGCTATTTGCCAGTGACTGGGGCCCAGAGTCTATAAAGTTCAAGAAAACTGAGAAGGTACAAATGACTTTTATCTAGTTAAAAAAAAAACAAACCCCCAAACTCTGAAGCGTAGTTCCATTAACCCACTTCCGAGCTAGCTTAGAAATCTTACTCCAGCATTCTCTACTCTCCATTAACTACTTACCTATCACCTGCACATATTGTCCCGTCACCCTGCTTGGTCATTCAGGTAAATAAGCATCAGCTCATCATGTGTTTGGATGAGATTATGTTTTTATTACTGTGAGAATTAAGTCTTGACCCATTTTAAGGCCCTTTTCCCCTGTTCTTCTGAAAATGTCCTATTTCTCACTCACTAACCAGCCCGAGGCCACCCCTGAGACGCTCTTCCTGGCTTCCAGGAAGACGTACTGTGACTTTCATCATTCTCTGTACACAGCTCACCTACGCCACTGACCACACGGGATTGTAACTCTTTGCTTCCCTCGTTGTTTTCCTTACCAGGCAAACCCCTAATGGCTCCAGTTTCCCAAAGGGTGGGCTCCCTGGCCATGTGCTGACCAGCTAAGGGCTACGAGCCTCTGTGTGGATCCTGGAAGACAGGTGCTCTTGTAAATGGGCTTCATTTTATGCATAGATCAAGTCTCATGTTCCTAAATCAGACAGAGATCTGACTCAAAAATGAGATGATATCTGCTACCAAGGTCCTACACATGAGCAACCAACCAGAAGTGACCCAATGACAATCGATGGGAACAGAGAGGCCGTCTTACAAGGCTGGGCAAGGGAAGATGTTGCATGGCTCCTCCTCGGGGGTCGGCTTCATGCTGGAGTCACAGTAGCCCTCAGGCACCTCTTCGTGAGTGTTTCTGTGCACACAGCGGAAAATCGGATACTGCGACCCTGCAAGGACAAGGAGAACGTCTGGGGGACAGTGCCTTGAATGACAGTTTATGGTGGAGACACAGAGATCCCGGTGCTGATGGAGCGAGGCCACAGAACAGAGCAGCTCGCACACACACCCCTCCTTCGTCTGTGGGATTGCACACACCTCTCACACAAGGGCTTTATCAGCACAAGAGGAGGAGGAATAGTTCTTGCCCTCAAAGAGCTCATCATCTATTTGTGGACATTGTTTGAAAGCGCTCAANGAATGACATGTATAGAGCAGGTGCTCAATGGATGCATACAGCAGGTGATCAATAATGGTATGAGGGGCTTGGAAGGGTCAAGACCAACATCCCTGTTCTAAGATGGAGAAACCCAGGCTCACAGGAATAAGGGCTTCCCTCAAAGCCACGTAATTGTTGGTGATTTCATTTTTCCAATCTCAGTCTGTCTTCAACCAGGTCATAGTAAACACATCCCTCAGCCACACCCTGAAGCTCTAAGGGCGTCTCTCATCCGTCTTGAAATATGCTGGAATGCTGCCTTATTTTGCTTCTCATCCTATATTTTCAGGACATCTTCAAGTGGGTGTCCCACAGATACCTCTCGTCCGATGGTTAAATGACGGATGCCACTGTTCCCCAATTCCCATTCCTCCTCTGGATTTTCCAATTTGTGCTCAAATTTATATCTGGATTCAGAATCGGCTGCTCTTCTGCCTTCTGGCTTCCTAAGTCTAGCCAGCAATCAGGCTTTGTAGATTCTGGTTTAACCACATGTGTCTTATCTGTCTTGGCCCTTCTGTCCCTTGGTTCCCAGCACCAAGGGGACCTTCTTCCCCTGGACTGTGAGGCCGCAGCTTCACGCTCAGCATCATCGGCTTTTCTAAGCCGCTGGGCTTCCAGGTGCTGGGAACTACACGCTGAAACCCCTCTGAGGCTGTTCCAGTCCTAACAACATTCGCTTAGGGACTTCCCCAACTAGCATTAAAATACGGCCTCCGTCAGCCCATTACTCTATTCCATACACCTCATGGTGGGCGGAGCCAGGGGAATCCCTGTCACATGAAATGCTCCCAGCGCCTTGTCCACGCCTTTCTTTCTGCCTGGAGCCCTCCTTTCTTTCACCAGGACACACAACAGTCAGTTCAGCTCAGCTCAACTACCATGTCCTCTGTGAAAACGTCTTTGATCGCCCAACTCAATATACTCTTTCCATCCTCAGAATTCTCACAACACTGTATTCTGATGTCTTCCTTTGTACTATGGTTATTTGTGTCCTATTTTTTTTTTCGTTATAGAAGTAGGCTCAGTGTGGGCAGCGACTATTAAATCATCTTTAACTCCTTCTCAGTCAGCACCCTACCCCTGGGTGAATCCATGAATATCAGCTGAATACATGAATATAGACTTGGGCTCTCCCTCACTCATTTCTCTTCTCTCATCAGCACCTTCCAATTCTGAAAGTGCCCCTTCACGTGACGACCAAAGCCCTCCTAAGGGAGTCAATGTTTGGTTTCTACCAACATTACCATTTAAAAAAGTAAATAAAAGCAATATAATTTCAAATAAAATTTGAGAAAAGTAAACAGTAATACTCACAACCTGGTTTCTCTATCAAGATACCTACTTTTGTTTTTGTAACGTGCTATCTCGTCTTGTAAAATCACAGCCCAGGGTGAATCATCAAACATTTATGTGACTGCTGCTAAGCTGAGCCTCACTTCCCAGGGAGGGAACTCTGTGGAGCAAAGAGCTTGAAGGGGTTCAGAACAGGCCATCCCCAAATATGCTGCTTTGGCATATTGATTATTTTGATCTGAGGGCAACTGAGAAACAGCAGATGCAGGAAGAGTTCTCTGCCCTCCCCTTTCTTGCTTAAAAGCAGGGTGTAAATTTCCTGTGAGAAATTTCCCAGTTCCAGGAAAAAGAGAACATTCTTATTGGCAATGGGGAACCAATGCCAGGATGAGTCTGCACACGCATTACTAAAATAACCCTTATCGTCTATCAGTTTCCCCATATATTTCTTAGCCACTTTCCTCCAATTTACTGTCCCTAGAAGCCCAAACCCCTTTCCTTTGTCTAGTCCCTTCACAATTTATCACCCTTTGTTAAAGTGATAGATAAGCCCTCAGGTTTGGGATTTTTACTTCTTTCCTATGAAGCCCCCCTGTGTCATGTAAAAAAAGATTAACATCAAATAAAACTTGTATGCGTTTCTCTGGTTAATCTGTCTTTTTTTTATTTGTCATCTTAACTTGCAGGCCTCCACTACAGAATCTAAGAGGGTAGAGCCTACAGGCTCACAAATACTTTTTACTTATCTGTGTTGTTATAAAAAGTCTGAGATTAGGGCTGCCCGAGTGGCTCGTTGGTTAAGAGTTGGCTTGGGAGCGCAA